TTTTGAAAACCTTTAGTATAGAACAATTCTCTTATTGTGCTGTTATTAATCGATTAGTGAAAGAATGGCAATATCTTTTGGAGATTCACCAAAAAATCAGTATTGTCATATTTTACTGACTCTCCACCTGTTCTGATCCTTTTTGAGTTTGTTTCTTTTGATGAACAAAAAAGAAAATATTTTAATAAAAGCTGGAAGACATTGACATCTATTGAATTTCATTTTCCTACTATGGATGTAAGTGGCCGCTATTAAACATTTTTTTAAATATCTTCATTTGTGTTCAGTGGAAAATAGAAAATCATAAAGGCTTGGAACTGCATGAGAGAGTAAAATGATGAGGAAATGTTCATTTATAGGGTAATAAGTTGTTCAGCAATAACCAACTAAACATTAGAACAGTAGAGGTGGAAATCACAATATTATCACAATACTTTTGTCACAATATTGATTTTTTTTATTTACAGTGATATTCTGCAAAACAGTGGCAGTTATAATCTTCCTTTACAACTTCTTATTATGTCCCCAAAAGAAAATTTTGGTAACGTGGTCTTACTAAACAATTGTCAGTTTGTGTATCTCACTTCAGTTTTATTGCTGCAATTAGGGCTGGGCGATAATTTGATAACCATAATTATCACACACACGCACACACACACACATATATATGTATATATATGTATATATTTATATATATATATATATATTTCAGTATTTCCTCAAGGATTTTTTCCAGCTGTGGCGGCAGGCCTTTTTTTACACAGATCTACCTGTGGTGTTACTTCAATGACAAATGTCATGAGCGCAGTGTTAGAAGTCGAGATCGCATTTATGTAATAGCCTACACTACAGCATGCGGATCTCTTTGCTTGTGCGCCGATTTCCTCTGCTCGTGCACATAATTTTTTGCACGCCCCCTCAAATATAAGCCGCTTCAAGGGCGCGCAAATCTTGTGCGCTCTCAAATAAACGCTGCTGAAGTGCGATTTAGTGCGTTTATGTAACAAGTATGTCTCCAGCATTTATTAGATTTTCTAGGAATATTTTTGAATGTCTCCCTAATAAACCTACAGAGCGATATTAATGCGTCCTGAAGTAATATTGAATGGCTATACGTCGTGATTGCTAGCCTCACGCATCACGTGCCTGTCAGTCACCCAGACAGTCAGTCAGCACGTAACCTTAAAGGCTTAAATAAATGACGTACAGCACTACTACGGTTACAATTTGCGCTGCTATAATTTACTTACCTTTTAATATGTTTTGGTGCGATTATTACCCGCTATTAAAAAAATACAATGTCTTGAATGAGAAGCTGTAATGTAGCCATGGCGGGATGAATTTTGACGTGGCGCCCCACCATGGAAGAATGAATGTAGCGGATACCATGTATATATAATTAATTTTTTTATTTTTTCTCTCGGGTCTCCGCGAGCACCTTAGTGCTATATATTGGCGCACTTAACCACTAGGCTGTTGGTGCAGACAACAATTTTTTTTTTCCCCAATAAAACAATAATGACAGTTCAATAAGTGTTTGATAACATTTACGTATTTAAGGATACAGACTGTATGAGTGTTTGTTACATTTGGAGAAGTAAGAAGAAATAAGGTAAAAAAGGTCACAGTCAATGACATTGTTGCAATAAACGTCACTAAAGTATTGAATACATGAATAAAAGCAAAAAAAATCAAGTAGTGATAACAGGAAAACAGCTTTTGATATGCCGTGATTTTTGTGTTGTCAAGATTACAAGAAAATTAAGTAGTGATAATGAGAAAACATACTTTTTTTTTTGTTGAGATCCCCAAAAAAAACGTGAAATTGAGATATGTCGAGCTTACAAGAAAACAAAAGAAAAAATATATTTGAATGCATTACCTTTTAGGATTTCCATACTCATCTATAATGCCGTCATATTTTTTTTTTAACTCTGAGCTAAAAAACAGCATCATCTACTGGACAGTCAAGAAATTGATTTTTATAATTCAATCAAATAGTATAATAAAATATGGACCTTTTCACATTTGTGGGTATCTAAGCAGCAGATGTCATCATAGTGGAGTAATTGTAGAGAGCAGTGAATGTGAGGGTACCACAGAATAACATTTTGTATTCCTATTTTGTATTATGCTACTTTTTACTTTTGTCTCTTTTGTTCCTGTTTATGTAAAGCACTTTGAATTGCCGCTGTGTATGTAATATGCTATATAAATAAATTTGCGTTAATTTTCTCAAATAATAAAAGAACAACCCCACAATAAAGTTTTCACAACACGAAAAACAAAAAATATGTGAAAAACAGCAATCAGAAGAGAGAACAAGGTCAAGTTTACTGTCCTGCCCATAAACACTGCGTTAGAAGCACCCAGCATAAGCGATAATTATTATGTTAGCTTGAGAAAGCCAACATGTTGTTATACGACTCTGTCCTCAAAACCAAACCTATGTCCTCCTAGGCTGTTCATGCTACAAGGCCCAAATTTGGTCAAAATATGCCTTTTGCATTCAAGATTGTTGCTATATCTAATTTACCCAAAAGCTGTCTTCTGTATTATATATATTTTTGTTTTCTTTTTTCAGGTTTATCAGACTTATAGTTTTCCAATAAAAATTTTGCATTATTTTTAATAAAAATTGCAAGCCATTTTTGACTTAAACTCCATATTTTTCCTGATATGGCAAGTCATTTTTGCATGTATCACTTTCACGCTCATGAAGCATTATATTTTCAATAAAATATGGCAAGCCGTTTTTACATAAAGTCCAAGTCCAGTTTTTGACTGTCATAAAGACATTGAGGTTGATTTTTATCACTCATATTGCCAAGAGGCTTTGATGTATCATCACTAAGCTGTCAATTGTCCCCATAGCAATAAGGCAGGCTACCCTAGAAACCATTTAAAAACAGCAATATCTTTACATCAGAATATCTTTGGCATGTTTTGGCTTATTTAACTCATAGTAGCAAATTGGACTTCCTGTGTACAGTGCATGGCAATAGTGACAAGCCAAGTGTCATTAATGATTAGCTACATGTTATTAATTATAATCTAAGTGCAATAACATGCTAGAAATGCCTACTAAGTATTACCATTTGATCAAACATGTACACGAGCATTGCCATTTAGCAACTGCTTAGCAACCACCTAGCAATGCCATAAACATTTTAGCAACTGCCTAGCAACCGCTGTGCTTCCTGCCAACTGCCAGTCCTAGCGCAGTCACGTTGGCTTTCTCTCGTCAACGAACTTTGTGTGTAGTGCACAGTATTTATAAAGCGCATTTATAGTGTATGGCCATACACCCAAAGCGCTTCACTATCCCTCTATGACCCTCTCATGATTGTGAAGAACTTTGGGTGTTTAGCCACACCACCACCAGTGTGCAGCATCCACTTGGATGATGCGATGGCAGCCACAAGACAATGGCACCAGTGTTCTTACCCCACACCAGCTATAGGGGTAGTGGAGAGACAGTGATGGAGCCAATTCAGTGTATGGGGATGATTGGGAGGTCATGCTGGTTAGGGGCCAAGAGGGAAGTTAACCAGGACACCGGGTTTACACCCCTACTCTTTACAAAAAGTGCCATGGGATTTTTAATGACCACAGAGAGTCGGGACCTCGGTTTAACGTGTCATCCGTAAGACAGCACCCACTGGCAGTATAGTGTCCCTTTCACTATACTGGGGCATTAAGGATCACACAGACCACAGGTTGAGCGCCCCCTGCTGGCCTCACTAACACCACTTCCAACAGCAACCAAGTGTTTCCATGTTTCTGCCACAGCCATGTCACCCTGCAGCCCAAGACCGGTTACTCACTGAAGCTAAGCAGGGCTGAGCCTGGTCAGTACCTGGATGGGAGACCACTAGAGAACACTAGGTTGCTGTTGGAAGTGGTGTTAGTGAGGCCAGCAGGGGGCGCTCAACCTGTGGTCTGTGTGAGTCCTAATGCCCCAGTAAAAGTGAAGGGGACACTACACTGTCAGTGGGTGCCGTCTTTCGGATGAGACGTTAAACCGAGGTCCTGACTCTCTGTGGTCATTAAAAATCCCAAGGCACTTCTCATAAAAGAGCAGGGGTGTAACCCCGGTGTCCTGGCCAAAGTCCCTCTATCGGCCCTTACGATCAAGGCCTCCCAATCATCCCCTTCCACTGAATTGGCTCTATCACTGTCACTTCACTCCACCAATAGCTGGTGTGTGGTGAGCGCACTGGCGCCGTTGTCCTGTGGCAGCCGTCGCATCATCCAAGTGGATGCTGCACACTGGTGGTGGTGTGGAGAGACCCCCCCTCATGATTGTGAAGCGCTTTGGGTGTATGGCCATACACAATAAATGCGCTATAAAAATACACATTACATTACATTACATTACATTTTTTTACATATGTGGTCTCCCATCCAGGTACTGACCAGGCTCAGCCCTGCTTAGCTTCAGTAAGTAACTGGTCTTGGGCTGCAGGGTGATATGGCTGTGGCAATTTAGGTTCTAGTTAATAATAAAATAATTAACAATTTGATGCAAAGATGATATAATGCACTATATAGTTTTATAAATGTACATACATTGTGTGAAAAAAGTCTATTGGTGATATATCGATATGGGCATCCATGTATTGATATAGTATTGCCACAGAAAGTATTACGATACTAAACTGCACAGGTGTAAATTCCAGTTCCTGAAGGGCCGCAGCTATGCACACTTTAGTTCCAACCCTACTCCAAAACACTTACCTATAGCTTTTAAACAAGCCTGAAGGACTCAATTAGTTTAATCAGGTATGTTAATTAGAGTTGGAACTAAACTGTGCAGAGTTCCGGCCCTCCAGGAACTGAGTTTGACACCCTTGCTAGTTATACTGTATTGATATTTTCCCCCACCCCTAATATTTTAAGTATAGAATTGTCGACCAAGTTCGATGTTCAAAGGTCAGATTCTAGTAGCAAAATACTTTGTCTGGGTTAAAAAAGGTCTTTATGCATTTGTTTTGTAGATTTTCATATTCCTGCACTGAAGGAGAAAACAAAGAGCTCTGGTCATCAGGGCATCATCTTAAGTCTTGCAGGAAAGTACTCTTCTCCAGTGATGGACAGAGTGAGTATTTATTTCTCTTACATTAATTGCACATTCAGATTTAAGCCTTTTTTCCCTTAATACAAAGTTTTGTCATGAAACTCTGTGCGCACAGGCTAATAAATCACCTAATCTGCTCTTACATCATCGACTACATAGCACAGGTTATTGGTTGCTGTTGCCTCTGCAGCCAATGAGATGGTGCCTCAACATTTTGTATGCCTCAGCATTTTCAAAGAACCTCCTCCACCCCAGCTCCACCTGTGTTTATATAGACCATTTTGAGGGATGTAAACAAAAACAATGGTCCCAACATATTTCCTGTTTTACTTTTTTAATTTGTATAGCTTCCCAGAATCCAAAAAGAGCCACATATTGATAAATAATGTTATGATAGCTGTTTTAACATCAAGTTATGATTGTAATGCCTCTTGTTACAGTTATGAAATAGTTTGCTAACAAGCAGGAAATGTTAATGTGCCAATGACATGACTACATTGAAATGTTCTATATGCTACAGGGTTTACTGCATGTCTGTGAATATACTGGCAATAGCAAGTCTCAGTAGTTTGGCTGCTATAATAATCAAAGCAGCAGCAGCAGCTTAACAGAATTCCGTCAATACTAAATATGTTGTCATGACATAAACACATAACTCTCTCTTTGTGTGTGTGTGCGTGCGTGTGTGTGTGTGTGTGTGTTTATGTTTATTAGAACTATTTAGCGTGTCTAAGGACAAGGCTATTCACATCATGGACGTGGAGGCTGGAAAACTGGAGACGCGCATCCCTAAAGCTCACAAGTATTTCTTGTTCCACTTAAAAGTCACACTTTTCTGCTAGTAAAGTTATTGTAAAATGAGTTTTTTATGCTTTTTTTTTATAGAGCCCCCATCAATGCCATGCTGCTAATTGATGAGAATATATTTGCGACGGGAGATGATGAAGGAACGCTGAAGGTTTGGGATATGAGGAAAGGAACGTCGTTTATGGATCTGAAGCACCATGAGGATTACATTAGTGATATTACTATTGACCAGGCGAAACGAACACTGCTTACATCCAGGTAGGCTACTCTAAATAATAGGGATGTAATTATGAAACTATCGATTCAAATATGTTTATAAACAGAATTAGATCGGGTCAGTTCAAGCAAAGATAATACTGAAAGTATGTACCAAATGCTGGTATTTTCTTACAGTAGTAATTATATACACTCGGTAAAATAGTAAATATATATTTTTTTTATATATATAAAATCTATAAAAAGTTGGTAAATCAATTATGAGAAAATCAAGCTCCTCTGTCCGAGTGATGTCACGTAATTTGTGACAAATGTGGGAAGGTGATGTGACGCTATCTACATGTCGCAAAACTATAGAGCGAAACGCCGCAAAATGTGAAAATTTAAGTTTGCGTAATCCTGGTTGGAGAAAGACGAATTTCAACAGTGGCTGAAGCCTTTCGCTGAAAACAACCATGTAATTTATTCTTTCAAGCTTTGTTTCTTCCGAGCTTATCTGAGTTCTGTTGCATGGTTTTGCTCCATTGATTTAACTACAGCTGTTTATAAACAACTGTTTATTAAGTTAAAGGTTTAATAATAATTGGAACTTGAAGTGGCGACGAGGTCTTAAAATATTTTGAGACGGTCTTTAAAAAATCTTTAAAACTTATTGAAATTACCTTTAGTATTCCTGCATATACCCTGTCATGGAAAAAAAACATGTGAAAGCTGTTAAATATATCAAAATGATTGGTAAACATGAAAATGTGTAATATTATGACAAACTGACATTAATAGACTTTATTGTGCTTGATTTTTTTTTAACTATTGTCTTTGATAGGAAAGAAACAAAATGTTTTGGGGGGTTTTTTCAGGCTGACCAATTAGTACAGAGCGAAAGATGATATTAATTGAGCGTTTTCAGCAACATACAGTATGTAAGATTTGTGCAGTTAAGTGACATTGCTTACATTCAGCTCTCCATCATAGCTGATCGATGACACCTCCTGAACACACACTGTAGTTTCTTAAAACTAAAGTCGGACTGTTCTGTTTTGCTTTAAATTTTCAAATTACAGTCTAAGTGAGATGAAAAACAGGTTATGCTTCATGTGCTCTCCATTTTGTTTGGATTACGATTAAAGGCTCAAATTTCCAAATTTATAACGAGTAAACATGTGGGTAAATGATGAAAGATTTTTCATTTTGGGGTGAACTATTCCTTTAAAAGGCTTTGGTTTGTTTCTAAATGCAAAGAGCACAGACAACCTTTGTTTAAATGAAGAGATCTCTTTTATTTATTTATCTTGTGTGCTGTTTACATGAGTGCAGTGAATCATTACATCCCCAGTTAATAATGAATGCCTACAAGTTAACATTTTTCTTGCTTTGAATAAGATGCTTCTTTCTTCTTGAAAACACTTTGTAATGCAATGACTTTCCAACATTATGTGTGGCCTGTGTGTGCAAATACTTGTTCATTTGATTAAGTCTGTTTGTTTTGTGTTCTAGTGGCGATGGCACTCTGGGTGTATTTAATATAAAAAGACGAAGGTTCGAACTGCTTTCTGAAATTCAAAATGGAGATCTCACCTCTGTCTCCATTATGAAAGTGAGTCTAAATAATGTAGCACTACTGAAGTAACATTTAAAACATTGTCTTGTTTTTTAATATATATTTGTGTCACACTCATATTTATTGAAAGGGGAAGAAAAAAACATTTTACTACTTTTTTTAATTGAATGAGTATTTTTAAATGATATTGTAGAATTGATCCAGGAAATATTTAAGGTAAATGTTTGAAAATGTGTCTTCTGGAGGAATTTTAGAATATTTATCTTTAATCAAACTAAATTATTGTATATATACATTTCAGTGTTGTTGCTATTTGTATGTTTTTTTTTTTTAAACAAACATACAAGATACGTTCAAAGGGCCATCTCTGTTTAGAAGGGAGTGTTGAGTGGCGAAAGAGGGAAGAGTTTGCATAAAAAGGGGAGTTTCATTACGTGTACGCTCTTTTTACAGAGGCAACACAAATACAGACGCAGGGGAGATAGACAGTGACCGTTTACATGGACAAATTATTTGCCAAATTATTAATTTGTTGGCTCTAACTGCAGTTTGGCACTTTTACTTTCATTCAGGAACATTTCATGCATGCCCCCATGTGACAAACGAGATATTGTTTGTCAACACAACATGAAGTTGCACCTCATACACAATAGAGTGCGGTGATTAGTCCGAACCAAGTCTCATGAATAAATGCTGTAAGCTCAAAGACATCATGTTTTACTCACCAGTACAGACATCCAGTCTCCATACTGGAATTTAAGGATCTAATCGCTGTGACGTAGCTTCAAAATTTCTTTTCAAACCAGAAGAACAAATTTGCTCGAAATAACGCAGAAACAAACAGTTTTCACTTTTTAGTGAAATATATATCTTAATAGTGTTTTTTGCAACGTGGGACACAGCGCTTCAGCGTCAACGCTTGACGGAGGGCAAAGTTGGGGCTGACATGATCGTCATAGCAGTGTCAGTCAATTAAATTAGTTTGCAATCGGCTGCTGAGCTGGGGTATTTGCATAAAGCAATCTGATTTGGGCACTAAGGGCATCAGCGTCAACGCTTCCAATTCACTTTGAATGGGTGATGTCAAGCGTTTTTGCAACTTTTAAAGCACCAGCCATTTCATTCGCTGACGCTGCTATGACGATCAGGTCAGCCCCAACTTCAGACGCGCTTTCTGTCAAGCATGAAGCCTTGTGTGAATGCTCCTTAACTGATATGCTTGTATGTTATATATTGTACATTTAGTATAGTAATTGCCATCAATATAGCCAATGCTGCTGACATGGTATTAAAACATAAATAAATAAATAATATATATTTGCTTCACTTTACAGTGTTGTGAAATAATGGAAAATTAGAGCTGTGCAAAAAAAATCATTTGAGAAATCAATTCTTCATCACTTCAGAGTAGAGCTGCACAAGTAATCGTAAAAAAATCGCAATCACGTTTCGACCCTCTAGGTCATCTTAATCCAGCATTTCTACGATTCTGTCAATTGTATTTTTAAGTTTAGGAGAGAAGCAAAGGTGGCCGTACAAGTCTTCACATTGTTTTACATACGTTGTTCAGCAACGTAGACACCTCAAAATGGTGTTGAAAGAGTCACATGCTGTATTTATAAGATATAATACACCCCAAAAATGTCATTTCTGTCTTCATGTAATGATGTATTTGCGACCGCAAAATCACAAGTGACGTGAGCTGACCATTAACTGTTACCACAGAGAGGGCGGACGCGCACTTCTGAATGAAGTCTACCTGTTATAACAGGTTATAAAGTTGTAAATAACATTCAGTTTGTGGCACAGAGGGGTCGTTTGGGAGCCGCACGGGAAGTGAACCGCTCTTAGCAGTGAAAATGAAACTGAAAGCGCACACTTTGTTGCCAGATGTAGCTGACTGATTCCAGCCCAAAAAGTATCCAAAACCCGCCGAAAAGCAAAAATACCCACCCAGTCTTCTGTATTCACAAAAATCACGTCAGTGACAGATTTTAAGCAGAAAATTAAGTTTGTAAGCATATTGCTTAAACACAATAATTCAACATTAGAATTATCATCAGCATTGATGACCAGTCCACCATTCCAAGTCTATACAAAATTTAGCATTTTAACCAACAGTACAGCTACACAAATCCTATTGCTGTTTTACCACATTTAAGTATAACAATAATAATAGTCCACTCATATTAACCTTTATTTTACATCTACAGAATCGTTAGAAAATTGTGATCTTTATTTTAGGCAAAAAATCGCGATTCTCATTTTAGCCACAATCGTGCAGCTTTACTTCAGAGATTTTAAAAATGAATTGTTATTCTCTCTTGAATTGATTCTAAGCTCAGTGTTTAATGCTTTAGATGCTTTAGGCTTTACAAACAGCCATACTCTGCTGTTATCTAATTCCTTAAGCCTGATTTATACTTTTGCGTCAAGTGCACGCGTATCCTCTGGCACAACCTTTGCATGGTCACATAGCCCTTGTCAACACTGACCTCTCAAAAAATGTAACTGCACGTCAGAACAATGCATAGCACAAGCTCTGTGATTGTTCAGCTTGGTATGGCTGACGAGTGTGGAGGGGGAGCCCGATTTAGAAAGTGTTTACAAGTGTCGACTCCTGTGAATGAGCTTCAGATGGAAACTTTTGTTTTGTGTTTATCTTATGATTAAAGTTGTTGCTTGTCCGCTGGTTCCTGCCTCTGAATGAGCGAGTTTTAGCTACTTGTACATTATGGTAGAAAAAACAAAACACCAGTGAACAAACTCGACTCAGAGGAACATAAAATTCTACTGCTAGTTAGCACAAGCAGCGCGCAGAATTATAAATGCACGGCAATGCGCAAGGCAAGCACTGTGGGTCATGTCAATCACTCGACACAGAAGAATAAACCAGGCTTTACAGACTCCTTTTGAACCTAAAATAATTGTTAAAGTGATGAAAGGTTTAAGGTTCATTGTCAGCTGTGTCTATATTCAACTCATGAAATGAAAGCCGACTTGCATAATTTGAGCCGAATGCATTAACGCTCTTCCTCGTGTACATCTCAGTGTAGAGTTTAAAAACTAGCCTAGAGCGCCATCTGCTGTTAAAAACTCAGAATTGATTCAAGAGAATAATGATGCAATTTAAAAATTTCAGAATTGATTTCTCTGAGCAGGATTTGTCGTCACTGCTCTACTGAAAATGCAATTCTAAAAATGTACTACACAAAATATATGCTGCTTGTATGATTATCAAGGTCATTTTTATTGATATAGCACCTTAAAAAAACATGAATGCTGATCAAAGTGCTTCACAAACATGGCAGAATAAACAATTGCTGAACAGTTATCTTTAGTTTATAAAACTTTTGAATCGTTTGTTGCTATATTTCATTAACTGAAATAATTGCTTTCAAGCCAGCAACGTTTTTTTTAACCATTAAATACTGTTATTGTCTTTGTTACAATAATATATGGTGGTAAATGTTTTTTTTTTAAACCTGCTTTTTGCCACACAGAGAGGTCGTAAAGTCGTTTGTGGTTCCGGTGAGGGCACAATTTACATTTTCAACTGGAATGGTTTCGGTGCCACAAGTGACCGTTTCGCAGTTCAGGCCGAGTCTGTGGATTGTATCGTCCCAATCACAGACAGCATACTGTGTGCTGCATCTACAGATGGTGTGATCAGGTGAATGTATTTAAAACCATTGTTGTTTTAATTGTTTATGTGCATGTTTTTTTAACCCTTTTATTATCATCTACATCAGTTAAGAAGATGAGGTTTTTAAGAATCTTAACAACGTGTGTAATACACTTTCTTTATCTTGTGTTTAATTTTGTGGTGAGACTGCACAAATAAGGTTACATTTGTTAAGTAAGAAATAAAGTGCTTCCAGGAGGTTGTTATCACAGATAACGGCCAACAGGCTTGGATTAAAAACTTAATGGTTTTAATTTTTGTGAAAACAACCTCCTGGATGTACTTTATTCTACTTTTTAGATTAGGCACAAAAGATTGTTCTGACAAAGGTAAAATAGAGCTGATGGAGCATTCACCAAACAGTCAAAAACACAAAGCTGACAGAAGTGAAACTGGCTGAATAGAGCATACACTAACCTACGTATTATTCAGTCACAAGACAGTGCCAAACAGTCCAAACATTGCCATGCTTATAGTATTGTTCAATCATGTTAGTAAATATGTTACCATCAAAATTCTACACGCAACACCCCATAATGACAATGTGAAAAAATATTTTTTTAAATTGTTGTAAATTTATTAAAAATAAAATACCTGAAAAATCACATGTACATAAGTATTCACAGCCTTTGCTCAATACTTTGATGTACCTTTGGCAGCAATTACAGCCTCAAGTCTTTTTGAATATGATGCCACAAGCTTGGCTCACCTGTCTTTGGGAATTTTTGCCCATTCCTCTTTGCAGTACCTCTCAAGCTCTATCTATATATCCTCTATCCTGACTAGTCTTCCAGGTCCTGCTGCTTAAAAACATGCCCACAGCATGCTTCACTCCAGAGATGGTATTAGCCTGGTGATAAGCAGTGCCCGGCTTTCTCCAAAAGTAACACCTGGCATTCAATACAAAGAGTTCAATTTTATTCTAATCAGACCAGAGAATTTAGTTTCTTATGGTCTGAGAGTCCTTCAGATGCCTTTTGGCAAATTCCAGGTGGGGAGTGGCTTCTGTCTGGCCACTCTACCATGTAGGCCTGATTGGTGGATTATTGCACAGATGGTTGTCCTTCTGTAAGGTTCTCCTCTCTCCACAGAGGAACGCTGGAGCTCAGACAGAGTGACCATCAGGTTATTGATCACCTCCCTGAGTAAGGCCCTTATCCCCCAATCACTTAGCTTAGATGGCCGGCCAGCTCTAGGAAGTCCTGGTGCTTTCAAACATCTTCCACTTGCGGATGATGGAGGCCACTGTCCTCAATGGAACTTTCAGAGCAGCAGACATTTTTCTGTAACCTTTCCCGGCCTTGTCCCTCAAGACAATCCTGTCTCGGATGTCTACAGACAGTTCCTTTGTCTTCATGCTTAGTTTGTGCTTTGACATGCACTGTCAACCCTGGGACCTCATATAAACGGATGCATGCCTTTACAAATCATGCCCAATCAACTGAATTTACCACAAGTAAACTCCAATTAAGCTGCTGAGACATCTCAAGAATGATCAGTGGAAACAGAATGTACCTGAGCTCAATTTAGAGCTTTACGCTGTAAACACTTATGTACACGTGATTTTTCGGATTTTTTTCTTTTAAAATAAATTTGCAACAATTTCAAAAAATCTGTTTTCACATTGTGATTATGGAGTATTGTGTTTAGAATTTTGAGAAAATAATTTAATTTAATCCATTTTGGAATAGGGCTGTAACAAAAAAAAATGTGGTAAAAGTTGATGCGCAACAAATACTTTCCGGATGCAATATATATGTGTTTATATATATATATATATATATATATATATATAGAGAGAGAGAGAGAGAGAGAGAGAGAGAGAGAGAGAGAGAGAGAGAGAGAGAGAGAGAGAAAGAAAGAGAGAGAAAGAGAGAGCTTGCAAATTTTAAGCAAGCATCAATGAAAAAAAATAGCAACTAATAAAGAAATGACTTTGCTCTTGGTGTAAATCATTCTCTACCAACATATTGAAATCACTTTCTGAAACCATCAAAATATTTGCCACTGTAGACTTTGCTAGAGTATAGTTTATAGTTACCTTTGTACTTGTCATTCTGGTTTAATCATTTTATATTGGCAGTGCATCTATTCCCTAAGCCAAAGGAAATAAAATTAATGATTAAACCCTTTATTTTGCAGAGCTATCAATATCTTGCCCAACCGCGTGGTGGGCAGTATCGGACAGCATGTCGGAGAGGCCATAGAGGAGATTGCACGATGTAGAGACACACATTTTCTGGCGAGCTGCGCTCACGATGAGCTGATCAAATTCTGGGACATTTCCAGCTTACCTGATGAGAAGGTTAATGATTACAGACGTAGAAAGAAAAAAGACAGAAGACTCAAAGCCCTGAGTAATAAAGCGTTTGATACAGGACAGAATTTCTTTGCTGGGCTTTTAGACACAACTGAGGAAAATGGTAAAGAGGGAGAAGATGATGATGACGATGATGAGGACAGCGACAGTGGAAGTGATTAAAAGTACTGCAAAAATTTGCTGTCATTTGTTGGATATTTTCAGACTAAAGGAACACTCCACTTTTTTGGAAACGGACTCATTTTAAATGTCCCCTAGAGTTAAAGAGTTTAGTCTGGCAGAATTACTACTTCTATCTTAGCATAGATTATTGAATAGGATCAGACTATTCGCATTTTGCTCAAAAATGTAAGACATGAAAAAAGGAAATTTGCTGCAATACCATGGATGTAACGGACACATTATTATGCAGTGCTGATACCTAGCTGTGGACTATTTTCAGAAACTGCTTGCTGCAGCCATGGTACGACAGCAAAGTTCCTTGATTATTAAGCGGAAATGAGAGTATAGTTCCCAGCCGTATTAACCTAAAAAAAAGAGCAACTTTTCGTTTTTCCATCATGTAATGTACTAAGTGTAACTACAAAATAGTCTACTTTAAATAAGTAAGTTTCGATACTTCTTAAAAAAAAAAAAAATTGAGTGAGAAGCTAATGGTCTAATCTGATTCAATTATCTATGCTAAGCTAAGTTAAATGTGCCAGACACAGATTAGGTGAATAGATTCAAAAATGGTAAAACTCAACGGTTTAACTCTAGGGGACTTTTTAATGAGCCTATTTCCAAAAAATAGTGGAGTGTTCCTTTAACATCTCAATTAGATTTATATTTATGTATTAGGGTTTTTTATCCATCAAAATTTCAGAATATATGCAGTGCTTTTATGTTTTTTGTTGTTGAATTGTTGTTGATTATAATTTGTTTAAAGGCAGAAACAATTTGTTTTATGTTGCTTCGGTTTTCTAAAACATTCTTTCATTAATTTTTTTTGGCTTAGTCCCTTTATTAAATTGGGGTCGCCACAGCGGAATGAACCACCAACTTATCCAGCACACGTTTTACACAGCGGATGGCTTTCCAGCTGCAACCCATCACTGGGAAACATCCATACACACACATACACTATGGACAATTTAGCTTACCCAATTCACCTGTACCATGTCTTTGAGCTGTGGGAACACTGGAGCACCTGGAGGAAACCCACGCGAGCACTTGGAGAACATGCAAACTCCACACAGAAATGCCAACTGATCCAGCCGAGGCTCGAACCAGTGACCTTCTTGCTGTGAGGCGTTTTTGCTACTCACTGCGCCACCGCATTGCCATTTACTAAAACACTCATTTAATATTTAAACTCAGCGCAGTATTCCAAGTTCAGATTTATTGCAATGAGATGAAGTTTGTTATAAATAACTTTCAACAGTAGCATGATATCAGTAGCTTATTTATTTGAACATATTGGCATTTTATATATATTCACACACACACACCTATATATATATATATATATATATATATATATATATAGCATACGTATACAAGTATATGAAAGCATATTAAAATATACATTTTGAAAAGGCAGATTTCTAGGTCCCTTATGAATTCCATCGGTGGTATTACTATTAGCCCTCCTGTAAACATTTTTTTTCCAAATTGATGGTTAACTTTTTCCACAATAGTTTTTAAATAAATTGTAAAAACTCATTTCTTTTGGTTTTGCCATGACAGTACATTATATGATACTAGTTATTTTGCAAGCTACTATTATTCGGCTTATAATGCAAAATCGAAATGATAAAGCCAATAAAAAAAACAATTTTTTAAGAGGTCTAATAATATTGACCTTGTCCAGAAGAATAAAAATGCTTGGACGTACTGTGAAAATGATGTTCCTTGCTCTGTAAAAAGGACAATAATTCAAATTTCCCAGGAGGACTAATATTTTTGTCAGCACTAAAAGTGGATCAAAAAGTTTCCTCAAAGATGCCAGAGTTAGAAAGTTGCAATTCCAAGTTAGAAAGTTACAATTCCGAGTTAGAAAGTCAGAATTCCGAGTTAGAAAGTCAGAATTCAGAGTTACTAGAGATTACTACTGAGTTTGAGGTGGTTGGAGCTAAATTATGCTGAGCAATAATCCAGGAATTGAGTTTCAGACCATTTATCTACATTTTTAGAGCAGTGTTTCTCAACCATGTTCCTGGAAGACCACATTTCCCATGGCTCCTTAACCAAACACACCTGATTTAGATCATCAGCTCATTGGCAGAGACTAAAAGACCTGTAATGAGTGTGATGAACAAAGAAGACATCCAAAACATGCAGTGTGGATGGTTCTCCACAAACATGGTTGAGAAACACTGATTTTTAGTTTGTGTGTATTATTTTATTACTAAACCAGGTAAAGGTATATGAGGTAAGAGTATGACATCTTTAATCCCAAAATGAATGTGTTGAGGAAAGGAACTAATGAGCTACTCTAGACTGACTGGAGTAGATGGAATGTCTTTGCCATTTTCTGGAAAGGTTATAATAGCTGCTCCATCTGGATTAATCATCAGAGCTTCTCCATCCTTACTTTCATCTTTCACAAGAACAAGAAAGGCCTTGGCAACGACATCCACCCTGTAATGAAATTTCAGTCAAATCAAGATACAAAAACGTGTATGAATGTAGAAGTATACGCTATATATTTCTCACTCACTCCAGACAGCCCTCACTCTCCATCAACATCTCCGTGATTTCCTTCATTTGAGAAAAACTTCCAGTATGCTCCTCTGAGTTCAAGAGGGACAGAAGACTGGTCTTCACAAACCATGGACAGAGGACATTGATCCTCACCCCATAGTTGGAAAACTTGGAAACAACCTTTAGATGTATGCAATTAAAGTTTACAAATTATGAAATGCTTTATTTACTCCATCCAAACTAAAGAACTAAATACATACCGCCATGGCACGGCTAAATCCGACCACGCCGTGTTTAGTAGCGGTATAGATGGGTGCTACTGGCAAAGGCCCCAAACCTGCAGCCGATATGCAGAGATTGTCAAAACATGGCTTGAAGGACAAAACGTGTTTAAAACAGCATGTTTGAAATAAAGACAGTAAAATCGCTATGTAATTCTTAACCGCTTAATCACGGCGCTTATACGGCATTTGTGTGTGACTCATCGTGTCAGAGAAGCTTGAATTTTTGCCTAATGAGCAGTATTTCAGCTTTATCCGTGTCTGTTTCTATCACTGACTGCTGTTTATCTGACTTAATGCATGATGAGAATCAGACAAGTACCTGAGAAGGGTGAGCGGGGAGAAGCAGCTCATTAGCATTTAAAGCTAGAGGCTACAAAAACAGCTACAATGTAAATTACCTGATGGGTATTTTGAGATGAAACTTTACAGACACATTCTAGAGACATAAAAGGTTTCTCTTACATCTTGTAAAAGGGGTGAAATAGATGACCTTTAAAGGTCCCATGAAATTCAAATACGGTAGTTTTAAGGGCATCTATAACTAATGTGCTCCAAAGCTGTAACAAAATACATTTTTAGAAGATATAAAACTGATAAAAACATCCAAAGCTTGCAGTTTGTCACTTCCGCTTAAATGGATCAATGGTTTTATTCACACCACCTCATACTTAAGTTTCTCATCAAATCTTGACCAATCAAATGCTTTTTAGTGTCTGACATGCCCCGCCCCTTGAAGATGCGTCTCATTTGCCTTTCATTTAATGTGCTTGAGCTTTTTTAATATGGAAGCCCGTTCCAGCACCGAAATAATACAATTATTTAATAAAATAAATAATACCCAATTCTGAATTATAAAGTCAGAAATGTTGAGTTATAAAGTCACAATTCCAAGATATAAAGTCAGAAATGTTGAGTTGTAAAATCTGATTTCTGAGTTATAGTCACAATTATGAGTTATAAAGTCTCAATTCTGCGTTATAAAGTCTGAATTCTGCCTTTTTAACTCGCAGGTCTAACTTTATAACTCACAATTCTGACTTAACTAATGACTTTAAAACTTTACAATTCTGACTATAACTCGCAATTCTAACTTTATAACTCAAAATTCTGACTTTATAACTCGCAGTTCTAACTTCATAACTCACAGTTCTGACTTTATAACTCGCAATTCTGACTTTGTAACTCGTAATTCTGAATTTATAACTCCGAATTCTGACTTAACTCACAAATCTAACTTTATAACTTGTAATTCTGACTTTATACCTCAGAATTCTGTTTTTATAACTTAGAATTCTGACTTAACTTATGACTTTTAAACTCACAATTCTGACTTTAAAACTCAACAATTCTGACTTTAAAACTCACAATTCTGACTTTATAACTCTGAATTTCGACATAAACTCGGAATTTATATCTCAGAATTGCCACTTTCTAACAGAAATCTGACTTTATAATTTTTTGTTTATTTATTTTTATTCAGTGGCGGGAACGGGCTTCCATACGTCCTCTCTTACTGGCAGAGCTGTGAGAAAACAAAACACTATTGGCTGTTTTTTTTTAAGGCGAGGAGCTACTCTATCTACCCCTTTCTTCATGTTTTAGTTGATATTACGTTAAACTGAAAAAAAAAATCACATTTTAAAGCACTGCAAAGGACATTAAAAATATATTTTACTAGAAATGAAAATTGTCATCATTTAACTTTCCACCTGTTGTTTAATAGTTGGACGAATTTCTTTATTTGTCCAAAAAGAAAAACTCCTAAATGAAAATCGTATGGGCAACAACATAGCAAATTAATGATTCAATATTGCTTCATTTATGTTTGACAAAAGAAAGACTAACATACCCATAGCAATAACAAAGTAAGTGAATAAACGATGACAGATTTATATTGCATTTACATCGAAAAACTCCCTGATGTGATCAGTTCTGTGTATAATGGGGCTGATTAAATTGTTTTGTTATCAGGGGAATGATAATGCATATTTTAGTTGACTTGCATTTACATTGAATGAGCCTCTGATGTTATCAGCTCTGTTGAGGATAACCTGTGTTGAAACCTCTACAAACTGATGTCCATGTGAACTTTTTACAATCTCAATGGGTATAAACCAAACAACAGCTGAAACATCTGACAAGAAATAAAAGTAAGCACGGAATGGTTTGTTTTTAGTTTATATAAAAGTGCTGTTTCAAAGGCAGATCACTGGGTTACGATTCTTGAAGACCAATGAGTTGACATTTTATGTAATTCATTTTATGTATTAGAGCAATTATATACATTGGCAAACCACCAAAGAATGGTTACACATCTAACACAGTCCATCAAACAATTTTGTGCTTGTCTAGTAGACATCTAAATGTAGACAACTTGGCTAAAACAAGGCTAAACTTGTCTAATAGACAAGTCTAATAGACATTTAAGAACAGCTTAAAACTAGACTAGTCGTCAAATAGACCGATTAGACAGACTTTATATGTGTAGTCATTCATTTGTTTATTTGATGACTTGTCTAGTTTTGACTTATTCTTAGACAACTATTAGATTTTCATTAACAGCCCAAATTTAGCCTTGTTTTAGCTAAGACGACTATGTTTAGACAGCTACTAGACATCTTTTAAAAGCAAAAAATGCTTGCTTAAAGTTTTCAATTTTAGAAGAAATATCTGTTTAAATCCACAAATATTGTTTTTTCTAAGTCATTTACCACGTTTTCAAGCTGTGTTTTTGTTCATTTTATGTACAGACGGTCCCAAACCTGCCATGGATGCAACGTTGACAATGACTCCACCACTGCCACCATTTTCTTTCTTCATATATTCCAGAGCGAGATACGTGCCCCTGACCACACCACCCTGAAATGACCACAAAGAATGTTCAGCTAAAGCAAAACCAGATGCAGTTATGTAGGTAAAGACAGACGGAAAGGTTCATACCAGGTTTATTGCAATAGTCTTTTCCCAGTGCTTTTCATTGATGATGCCAGCGTTGTTGCACATGATGTCTATTTGGCCAAATTGCTCTACAATTTTTTTCAAAACTCCTGTAAAGGAAAATGTAAAGCTTTCAGAAGACAAAGACAGTTTCTTTCAATGCAATCAGTTGTAAACTTGTTTGATATAAATTAAATTATAGTGTCATCTAATTATTTCTACATAAATTGCTTAAAAGAAAGTCCACCCAAAAATAAAAATGGCCGCATAATTTACTTAACCTTAAGCCATCTGATGTGTATGACTTTCTTCTTTCAGACAGACAGTCGAAATAGTTTTACATTTTATTCTGACTCTTCATGCTGTACAATGGTGTTGTGTAGTGGCCCATTTTTAAGCTTCCAACGGTACAGAAATCTGTCATAAAACTAACCCGTATGCTACCTGGGGGTTAACACATGTCTTATGAAGTGGGTCGATGTGTTTTTGTAACCAAAAATATATTTTTACATTTTTTAATGGCACCTGTCGAATGCACTGTCATGAAAACTTCTTGGCTAACCTTTAACTCGATGCATGGTATAAAATTAGAAACATTACATTAAAATAAAATGACTACTCGGACTGTAAATGCCTCGAAAGACGAAAGTTATATACAAAGAAAATGGTTTAAGAATGAGATTTTTGGGTGAATTATTTCTTTGTATTGAAGTACCTTTAAAATCTTCCTCTGATGAGACATCAGCAGTGTAAAATTCAGCCCTGTTGGGTCCATACTCTTTATTAAGAGTAGTCTTTAATTCCTCTCCAAGAGATTTATTCACATCAATTAAAGCCACCTGCAATCAAATAAGTGTACACCGTTATAGTATCATTGAATACAATATATAATAGTAGCATAGAAGTTGTACCTAATTATTATTTAGAGAATATCTAAAGATATTCCTGATGTTGCGTATGCATACAAAATTAAACGTAATATGTTTCTTCTGCTATTACTGCATATATGAGAACACTACGTGTCAAAAGTCTTGTTGCCTATCCAAGTTTTAGGAACAACAAATAACAACTTCTGGTTGATCATTTGGTATCAGAAGTGGCTTATATGACAGGCAAAGGCCTCTAGATTACACGTATTTAACCAAAATAAAACAATTATCCCTTGAAAAATTATGCCTTGATTTTAATTTTTAAATTAAAAATTTTAAATAATGTACCGTAAAGCAGTGGTTCTCAAACTTTTTTCATCAAGTACCACCTCAGAAAAAAATAGTCTCTCCAAGTACCACCAAAATGAGCAGTATTGAAATACAGTAGCGTAGTCGGCCCAATAAAGCAGCTACAACTCTGCACAGTTAAAAAAAACGTGGCAGATTACCTTAGAAATATAGGCTATATGTCATATGTGGCATATTATATCGATCATTTATGATAAATTTTTAAATGTGTGTAGCATGTACATGACATTTCATTCCTCCGCGTACCACTAAAGGAAGCCTGCGTACCACTAGTGGTACACGTACCACAGTTTGAGAACCACTGCCGTAAAGAATATAAAGTCATGCTGCAGTGGAAAAAAAATTAATATTGTGCATGACTCCTATTAGGTTGGAGGACTGCATCTATACATCTCTGCAATTACTCAAACAACTTTGATAAAGTCACTTTGATAAAGTCATCTGGAATAGCAAAGGAAGCATTCTTGCAGGACTCCCAGAGTTCATCAAGATTTTTTGAATTCATCTTCAATGCCTCCATCTTACCTGAGACATGCTCAATAATATTCATGTCTGGTGACTGGGTTGGCCAACTCTGGAGCACCTTGACCTTTTTTGCTTTCTGGAAATTTGATGTGGAGGCTGAAGTATAAAAAGGAGCGCTATCCTGCTGAAGAATTTGCCTTCTCCTGTGGTGTGTAATGTAATAGGCAGCAAATGTTTTGATACTTCAGGCTGCTGGTGTTGCCATCCACTCTGTAGATCTCTTGCACACCCCCATACTGAATGTAACCCCAAACCATGATTTTTCTTTCAACACACTTGACTGATTTCTATGAGAATCGTGGGTCCATGCAGGTTTTAATATGTCCTCTGCAGTATTTGTGATGATTGGGATTCAGTTCAACAGATAATTCATAAGAAAAATCAACCTTCAGCCACTTTTGCAAATGATCAAATAGAAGTCAAGTTTTTATTTGTTGCTCTTACAACTGGGATCAACGACAAGACTTTTGTCAGGCAGTGTATATATATATATAGACACATGAACACATCTTGGTCTAAATGTATTGCACAGCACAGTACCCAAGCTGACAACCTGACATATGTAAACCAGTGTCTAATCTGACACATAAATTATTTGACTAGCACAACAGAAGAAAAAAATTCCTGGTCCATGTTAATGTAATTGGGGAACGGAAATGATATGTTCCTTTGCCACAACGAATGCCCCTTCGCTGTTAGCAGTGAAGGTTCTTCAGCTAGAAAAGGATGCCTCAGCTTGGCACATGCAGCCCTTAAATACAAGATTAATTGTAAAAGCTGTGCATGCTAACGCTGACAACTCTTTGGCATTTCATTTGCCTGTATACTCTTTAAGATGACTGGATTCTAACGAAATCCCCCATAGTGTAAGTTTACACATATCATTGAAGTTCCCCTCCCGAATGGGAACTTAAAATATGCTAATGTTACTCATGCAACGTCCTCCAATTTTTTTTATTACTATTTGATTGGACACTTTTTTTAATGAAAACAATTTGTAATAATTAACAGCATTTAATGCAATAAACAACATGTAGTAGGCTACTAATGTACTTTAAATACATAAAAAATACAATAACCACCAGAGATTAACTTTCGACAAATCAAGATGTCTTATTGCTGTCAGTTATTACCACACTTTTGCATAGTCTGTATGTCAGATCTAGGCTAACCTTTGATGAACATCAATTAATTTTTTCCTCATGACTCAATATCAACGGCCAAATGTTATGTACGAATAGCTCTTTTCCCTATTTTCAGCTTTATAAAACCGAAACTGTACTTATCAATGCATAGCCGAGTCGACACAGCTGCGACGCTTTTAATCGGAACCTGAAGCAGGCGTTTTACCCTCAATGACATGGTAACGTAAATAAAACTTAATTACGTAACACTTTATGTTCAATTACATAGTTGATTTAGTGTCCTTGGAGTTTGTATTAACGCGAACAATTTTTTTTTAATATGATTTGTATTATTTAGTTTACCTTTGACCCATTTTTCATGAGTATTTCGACAAAACTTCTGCCCAAACCCTGAGCTGCTCCGGTCACAACAGCAACTTTATCCTTTAAATCCATCGTCAGCTACACACCTGTGGAAATAACATATTGTCTATTTTATCTCTCGTAAAGATTCATTTGAAGCAACAGGCTTCCATTAAAACTTTTTAAAACCTGTATCTAATGTAAGAAAAAAAAATGAAGTAGAAAAAAGCCTGTTATTAAAGCAGACAGTAATGCTATTCTTTCTGCTTGTCCAAAACTTTAGTAAATAACGATCTTTTTCACCTCTAGCCTATAAAAATCATAAAACAAAACAAAACAAAACAAAACATTGTTAATCCTACCTGTGCGTCCGAACAGCGTTTGGAGTAGCAACTACTGAAATAGTGAAAGAGTGACCGATGAACATAAGCCAAGTGAGGGGGAGGAGTTTAACATCAAACACGCCAAACAAAACATAACGGGTCTTCAATGGGTGTGTGAGCCGAAGTAAAATGTGAAGTATAACAGGTGTTATGCTAAAAAATTTCTTACATTGTTTGTTTTTGTCCACTCAAGATCATCTGAGCTGCGAGCGATGGCACGTAAAGGCTACTTTCACAATCTGGACTCCACATGTGTTAATCATTCCCAGATACCGAATGAGATCATGCTTTAAAAGCCCTTTAAACATCCTCCTCTGATGACACTATTGTTGCACAAAATTTCAGCTCACATTCAAAAGAGCATCCAACGCATGATCAAAACTAGATGGATGCATAGGTTTGATTTAACTTTAAGTTTTATTTTAGGGATGTGTGTCTTATGAAACAGGCTATATTTACTATGTGTCCATGTTTACAATCCCATAGAATAGATCATCAGAGGGATACATAATGACTAAGACGGTTAATGAAAATAAACTCTGCAAGCTTAGAACTTGACCAAAGTCGGCTGTGAGTGATTATATGTTCCAGTTCCTGGAAGAGGAAAACAAAAAGGCTTGGTGGAGATCATAATTAACAACAGAATAAGTTTGAGAGGGATTTTGGTAACCCAAACAGCACTAGGTTGTCTTGCCAAATAAATGTTTTATTGTAAGCTGGAATTTGCATTGAAATGCCAACCCAGGCCCATAACCAGCCTAGTGAAAGAGGTGGTTCTTTTTTTCTCAAAAAAGAGGACCTTTTTTTGCAGTTATACGCCTTATTTTCTATTTAATTACGAGATGTAAATACTGCATTTTAGTGACATTTTAAGCACTATTTTAGCTGTATTAGCTTGTCGGATGGTCATGATAACCACACTTTTCTGATTTACCAAAAATATTTCCTAAAGATTTAGAATAAAGATACTTATTTTTAAAATACATATTAATTACATTATATATCGTTAGAAAGAAATAGGAATCTGTTTAAGTTCTAAATTAAAAAACTGTATTCTCTTGTCATTTATTAGGCAAATAACAAACTGGCCAGATCATTCAACTTTCCTCAGTCAGAATTTGTCCATTTGAATTAAAAATAATTAAAACATAATAATAATAATAATTTAGAGCTTCACAATTTTTCCAGCCTCTCTCGTAAAAAGTACATTTGAAAATTCATGGATAACAACAAAAGCCAAAATAGTATTCAAAACTATTTCAATATGGTCCGCTTTTGATGTGTCACACCTTTTAATTGGTCATTTTTTGTTTCAAGAATAACATTTAGTATATAAACTCTTGCAGGGGTAATATAGTAATGGGAAAATGGACAAGAGCTACTTTAAAACTATGGAAAAAGTTACAAATTTTGTTAAAAATCAATTATTCAAAGTCCCTATTATCTAGTATAAGTACACTAAATGCATTTGTTACATCGGTTTTAGATACTGGATTTAAAAAAATGATCAAATAATGAACTAAATTTCATATATCAGCTTATGAACAAAAACAATTTGAAAACATTTTGAACAATTAGAAGAACTTCAATTACCAAGAACCGATTTTTACAGATATTTTACAAATAAGAGATTTTCTTACAAAGCATAAAGAATGCGAGAATATAATCAGTCTGAACGAAATAAGAAAAGTTAATGATAAAAATACAGATGAGGTATACTGACAAATAAAAGATTACTTAACTATATAAGAGTCTGTTATCATATCATCCATATAAAACTTTTTTTTATAAAGAACGGGGGGAGGCTGAAAGATTACACAAGAAAACTGGACAGATAGCAAGTCACAAACTCAAATGTATGGAGAGAATTTAAGTGGACAATCATTACAAGATATTTCCGTACCCCACAAATTGTAGCAAAGATAGGAATAGGCTCATCTAACAGATGAATGTGGAGAGAATGTGGTGACCATTTATAGGGAACCACTCTCATATCTTTTGATATTGGCCAAAACTGCAGCAGTTCTGGGATGATATCTATAAGGCACTTCAAGATATATTTTGCATTGATATTGCCTTTGATCCAACCATGGCAGTCTTAGGTATACCTGAGAGCATGGGGGAAAGAATAGTTATTTATTTACTTCAAATATTGCTTTCTGCAGCACTAAAATGTATTACACCTAACTGGATCAGATCAGACCCACCTACATATGAACAACGGATCAAAACAATTAGAGAAATTTATGAAATCGAAAGAATAACTTATTGCCTTAGACTCCAGAAGAATATATTTGAAGCTAGATGTAGTCCAATTCTTAAAATTATACATAACTAACTTTAAGCGTACAACCTAGATTTAGTAAACAGCCCCATTGTGTACCCTTTTTTAAAATTAATTATTTTTTTTTACCTTCCACATTATATATATTGTTTTAAATTAACACTGTACAAATGTCTTACACTTTTTATTTTTCTCCCTTATCTTTTCAGTACCCATCTCTATCCTTATTGACTATTTCTGATGTATCTCTGATTTTAGTAACACTTTATTTTAAAGGTTCATTTGAGCATTAGTAGACTGTCTGCTTAATATCTGCAGATACTGCTGCTAAACAGACATTTAACTGACTATAAGAAACTTTGCAAGTACATGTCAACTTACACTAACCCTAACCCCAACCTAACAGTTTACTTATAATCTAATGAGAATTAGTTGGTATGTAGATGCAATGTAACTTAAATTCAACAAATGGACCATCAAACCAGTGTGACTGTAAAATGTTTTCTCTGATTAAAAACAATACAGCACCGAAAAAAGACTTCGGTCGTGTCAGATTATAAAATGAAAATATTTGTTAGCATTGGCCAAAACAGACTAGCTAAAGTCAAAACGAAGCGACAACCAATTCCATTTGGTCTCAAAGCCTTTTTCAATGTCTTATTTTCACTATTTATTATGGCATAGCAGTCAGAATAGGACAAAGAAGCTCATGTGTTGGGCCTATTCTGGACCTTTGTCAGTGAGAGTGGGTCTTCCGAACCACCCAAACTCCCTCTGGCTACAGGCCTGCTCCAACCACAAGGGATGTTGACCATTTGGGATGAAAGGAAGAGGATTTTATTGAGCTGTTGGGTAATTAAAATGGTAACACCTTATTTGATTGTCCCTATTGCACATTTTGTTGACAAGTTGCATTGCAACTACATGCAAATTACTTTTAATTTGAGTTTTGGTAGACTGTCTGCTTAATATCTGCTGATGCTGCTCCTTCAACAGACATCAGACGTCAACTCTAACCCTAACCCCAACCTAACAGACTACTTATAATCTTTTTTTGAATCCTTTTATTAAAGATTTTTCAATATATATTTTTTTCAGAACAACCCCTTCCCCAACAATTTCACTCCTCACAGATGAGGGAATACATAAGAAAATAATATTATAAAAATTCAAAGAAAAATAAATAATAATAATGAAATTAAACAAAAGATACTGCCATCATAATTACTTTTCAGGGGATACATTTGTACATCAAGTTCCATTGTGATACATTGTAGTTATCTGAAATTACATTAAATATCTTGTAATACTTTTCCACCTCTTCAGAATAATATCAGTCTTCATTTGTAGACATGCAGTCATTTTTTCCATTACATAGACCTGTTTAAGTCTCTAAATCCACTGAGCCACCTTTGGAAAACCTTCTTCCATCCAATGTACAGTTATCATTTTTTTGCAACCAGTAATAATATAATTAGGACAAATATTGTTTCTTTGTTAAACATTTCTTTGGACAGTGCTCCAAGTAATCACACAATTGGATCGAGGGGTATTTCTATATCTAATATTATCTATTTCTTTTTTTAACATTTTTTCCAGAATTCTTTAATCTTCAATCCTAATAAATGTATGATCTCCAATTTTACCACATTTTCTCCAACACTAAGTAACATCTAGTGAGAATCAGTTGGTGTATAGATGCACTGTAACTTAAATTCAACAAAATGCTTCAAAATAATTTGATACATATAAAGTATTTATTCAATTTCTCATTTTTACTGCTAAATGCATATGTCTATACTGTTTAGGCCTACATAAAGCTGTATATCTTACAGTTTTATTTTTAGCTAAAGAATAATAATAATAAAATTATTATTTAAACAAAAAATTTAACTTTTCGTACATTTTATTTTACCTCAGTGTGTAAAATAAGCAGGTTTTATTTTATGTTACATTAAATTCAAACATTGAAACTACTTATAAATAACGTCTCTCAAAGATTTCTCAGTATTTAGATAAAAAACTCTAATAATATTAGTAACAATAATAATAATCATAAAGTTACATCTTCCGATCTTTCAGTTTGACCAATCAACTTTTTTTGAACATTTATTGTATAACAAAGATACATTTGAATCACATGATTTTTAATTATAATCATAATATTATTTACAATGGTGCTAATAAGGAATGAAAAACAAGAGAAACAAGAGGAAAAAACAACAGAAATCAACTAAAGGAATATCAATAGGTTATCTGATCTGAGGATAGATATATAATAGATAAAGTAATTAAGAAAGAGGAGGGCAAAATAAGAAAATAACAGCAGTTTAGAGATTTAATGGATTATTATAGGTCGTGCAAATTGTATATGTTTTGAGTGCTTTCTTATAAAGCGAATCTGGAATTGTAAGTAATTTTTAATCTCCTGTAAAAATTCTGGGGTAAACAAGGTGGTGTAGTAGGTAGTGCTGTCGCCTCACAGCAAGAAGGTCGCTGGTTTGAGCCTCGGCTGGGTCAGTTGCCATTTCTGTGTGGAGTTTGCATGCTCTCCCCGCGTTCGTGTGGGTTTCCTCCAGGTTCTCCGGTTTCCCTCATAGTCCAAAGACATCCGGTACTGGTGAATTGGGTAGGCTAAATTGTCCATAGTGTATGAGTGTGAATGAGTGTGTATGGATGTTTCCCAGAGATGGGTTGCAGCTGGAAGAGCATCTGCTGCATAAAACATATGCTGAATAGGTTGGCGATTCATTCTGCTGTGGCGACCCTGGATTAATAAAGAGTCTAAGCCAAAAAAAAAAAATGAATGAAATGTAAAAATGCTTTCCCAAGATGGGTTGCAGCTGGAAGGGCAT